AACTAATTATAGTATCTTGTTCCTGTCAAAATACAAAAATAAAAAAAATATCTCAATTATTATCTAATTACCAGTAAATAGTTGTATTTGCGAAAATGTTCAAATTTCAATTTAAAAAAATTAATTCAAATATAATAAATTTTGAGTTTCTCTTTCTAAATGAGGTCAACAAAATTATGTCTAAAATATTCTTATAAAAATTAAAGTGTAACTTTTATACTAACACTAACATATTGATTTTACACGTATGTTGATAATTCTTTATATTTTAATTACTTTAAACTAACATTATAAATGTTGACTACTATTGAATATCCACAAAAGCCCTCGTGATATAATTCCCCGCATCCGAACTCAAAACAGAGATGTTATTGAGCAATAAAATCACAATTTGGGATATATTATATCTTAAATATACACATATGTGAAAATGTCCTTGAAAAGAACCGTTGTACAAATTTTTCGTTTTTTAAATGTATTGAAAAATTTCGACATCATTTTATCATGATGAATTGACATAAATAACTGGATTTCTCACCAAACGCTTCTCTCTTCTTCGCACCTGTGGAATTCCGCCTCGGAATAATGTAAACTTGTGATATGTCGCCCTTATAAGTGTATGTAAAATCCACAATTAATGTAACAAAAATAACTTGATTTAATAACAAATCAAGTTGAACACTGTAAGTTGAAATCTTCTTATCAGTTCACATCACTTCAAGTATATAAATCCAAATGATGGTCGAAGAAAATATTAAAATCCTTCACTTATATTTAGTGACACAAAATTTAAACTCCGTTGGGCGCCATTTATAACTATGGTTGTTTTAATAAATAAATACAACCAAAGTATTTCTGGGTTCTTCTTTTTATTTCAAATTGTAAATGTGTCACTGTTCACTTAAAGTTCAAATACAGTCTATCATAAAAGGACACAGTGCTCAGTTTACAGCATTACAGTAGAATGAGTCAGTGACCTGCAAATACATAATAAAATCATATAACAAATAATACAATACTGTCTAAAGCCTGAAAACTATCATGTACATAAAATTACAACAACAATGTTACAAATACATAATCAAGAAGTAGTAATATACATACAATGTATATCAAAATACTCTGGTGTGCCAAGTGGTCCATTAATCATTCATCACTTAATATAATCAACATTATCCAAATATCTCTTTCTTTATCATATATTCTATGCTGAACATAAAATACACAATTTATACAAAATAGGTATTTACATCATAAATACAATGTTTATAAACTTACCAAGTTATGGACCTGCTCACACAAACAACAATCTCTCCCGTGAACTGTGTGTTAAACTTCAATCAAAATAAGAATCATGTGCACTGGTTTCAGCGGTGTGACATTGTTAAGATGTTATATTATTAATAATAATAATAATTGTTAGAGTAAATACTGCCATTTCGAAGTACATGTACAATCGCTTTATGTCAATAAATAAAATAAGTCACAGGCGCTTACAGAAAGCATTTACTTAAATGCTAACAACTCCACATGAAGAATAAAGTATACTGCAAATATGAATACATTAAACAAATAAAAAACATACCAAAGTAAACGGCAAATAGTTAAAACATTTCCACAAAAACAATTAACATGTCCTCCACAAAATTATCAAACACCGCGCTCTACTTGAGTGAGTGATTTTATCAAACAATCAGAATAGAGATAAAACCAAGGTTGAAGATAACTAAATAACAAATAATAAATAGGGCTTAGACCACTAAATAAGAACCTGCCACAAAACCACGTGGTAGAACTACTTTCAATCCGTATTTTTTGCGAGATTATTATAGATAATAGCCGAGGATGTTCCGATTGATAGAGGTTAACGTTGCTGCGAAACAACCGTTCAACACATCGTCTTTAAATATACAGGAAATGACGTCAAGACGTCACACTAACCTTACACGCGTAGGCGCCAAATTTTGCTTTAATTTTCTTCCCGCAGTGACATTTATACTATATCATGTATACTTTAAAATACAGCGTGCTTCAAGTCACAGGACAGTGGTTATTATGGACACGGTGTATTCGTAGGAAAATGTTGATATATATTCCGCAATATGGACATGTAATTGCAAACATTTTGTAATTCAATAATGTAATTTGGTTTTTAGATGATAATTCCGCGAATCTATCAATCAGCCCTCGTATTATGTAGAAATTTACCGTTAATTATAAAAGGGAGGTTAATGCTCGAATATGTTATGTAAATGTCACTTCTAATGTTAAATGATCGCTAGTTTTCCTTGAAACTGCTTTTTTGTTGCTAATTAAGCACATCTGAATTTCCCAAAAATAAAACAAAATTAATAGTAGTCAACATTTATAATGTCAGTTTAAAGTAATTAAAATATTAAGAATTATCAACATACGTGTATAATCAATATGTTTGTAAAGATGTTTTCTGTTTAATTTGTGAAATACATGTATGTGATCTGTGTTATAATATAGCACGGTATGTAAGGCCGTATTCGTAGGCCTGAGTGATCAATAACAAACATTTGAACGCCATACCGTGCGATATGTTCGACATAGATCACTCAAAATCAAGATCTATTTCCATTGAAAAAAATTATATTTGTACTATATTTTTGGTGGTTTCAGAGTTTCTGATAACAACGTTCTTTAAAAGCTTTTCGAATAGGCTGAAATTTTGAAAACGTTTATAAAGTTTTTTGTGTTTATTTTATTTCTTTATATATATTTTCAAGCGAAATACAGAGTATATATAGTGAAGTTAAAGTGATATTCAATTATTTTGCAACATTGAATATATATTGGCTAGAATAAGTATGGTGCTCAACAATGAATCACGAACTCTTTAATTTTATATTAATAGACATTAAATTAAAGACGGCACCTAAGATCAAGTGTCATAGTATAGCAAGAATGTATATTACAGATACCATCACTTCGTGTGCAATATGGTTTTGATATGGACATTTTGAACTCGGAAATGAAGAAAAAATTCGTAATAGTAATATCACATGGAAAACATGAAGTCATGTGATAAAATAGTTTGACTATGTTATATCACTTACTTTGTTTAAAATCAATATACTGTTCTTCTTTTTCGGCTTTACTTGCTGTGTTCAGTTCTTTTTGTAACGTCTTTCCTAATTCAGCCAGGTCTGTTCGTTCTTTATCTCCTTGTTTATGAATTGTATCAATTTCTTTGTCCCTTTCGTCATTTAATCTTTTCACAGAAGCATCAGTTTTATCTTGTATCTGTGTCATACCCTCGGCAGTTTTTGATTCTAGAGATAAGAGATCTTCTTGTTTTCCCTTTATCATATCTAGTTTAATTCTGTCATATTGATCATCTAATCCAGCCTTCATCTTGTCTTGAATTATGGTTGCCACATCGTCTAGTACTTTTCTTATATCATCTTTTCCAATGACTAGAGTGTCATTTTCTAACTGTAATAATAAATGCCATAAAATATACAATATCAATTAATATACTAGTACATAAGAATTTAAGATCAGTTAATCATAAAATGTACATTTCAAAGATATATTGAGTCTACTGTATTTATATGTAACAAGTGCGCAATGTTGATCATCACTGATTTGTAATTGTATGCTGATCAATATGTATAAAGCAAAACACTTTGCCAATTGAAGTAAAAAAAAAGTATTTGTTAATTTGTCGCGTAATTATCAAGAGGGCGTAATTAGGTTTGAAAATAAGTAAACATTTATAGCATCGAACAATTATTGCCTTGTACCGGTATTTAAGTGATTACTCTGACTGTTTTTTACATCTATCGGAGGTCATTTTGAAAAATCCCACTAGGTTTGTGACAAAAAATGTTTGTACATGTATATTTCCTTACGAGCCATTGTATAACGGCCAACATTTAATAAGAGGAAACTATTTTGTTCCGGAAAAATTTATAATGTTTACGCACAATATTCTTGTTCATTTAAGAAATAACATCGGCCTGAGAGGTGTACATCGCCTATTTAACACCGGTTTGGAGTTTTGATGCGTAGGAATTGACAACGAAGGATGTAGGCCTGAGTGGTTAACTTTTTCGCATCAAAACGACAAAACCGGTGTTAAATAGCCGATATACACCTCTCAGGCCGATGTTATTTCGATTCTATCACGATAAAATAAGGAAGATCACTAATGTTAATTTTTCAAGCGGAAATAACTTCCGGTGCCGATTTTCGTATTCTGCTGTTCCATTTTCGCACCCTACTGTTGCAAAGATATAGACATTATTAAACAAAATAAATAATAAGAGAAAACGTTATTTTATCAAGTTTTCAACAATTAAAACTTACGTCGTATTGTGTTTACATCAGTGCCCCATTTATCATTCTTGTATTATGAAATAACGTCAGCTTGTTTATGAATGAGTTGTTTACTTACGATGACGTCATTACGCTGCTTACGGATTGGCGCCGTTTTGTCAAAATATTTATTAACTGATAAAGATCAAATACATGAAATATGTGGCGTTAGTGTATGTGAGATATTATTTCGGTATTGTATGAAAAGAAAACATTATAAGAACTGAAAATATAAATGAAAATGCTTTTTATTGTTGCTTTAAAAGGCTTTGTGAACTATATAATCGAGGGTGAAAACATAAAAGCTGCATATACAAGTAGTCCCTAACCAGTGTTTATTGGCAGTTTAACACCAGTTTTTTCCTTCTTTGTCCATAGTGACAAAATCACGTGGAGTGATAGAATAAATAACAAAGTTCAAATTTTATTTGCAAATCGGCAAATCCTTGCCTTTGGCAATACATACAAAACATATACATACATAGATCTTGAAATATAGCACACATAACTACAAGATACATATATAAACATTTCAAATATCAGTATTCGTTTTGAAATTAACAAATAACAAAGTAGTGCTAATAATATATCATTAATTTCGTCTATTTATCATTTGTTCCATGGTATTAGATCGTATATCAAAAGCTTTGTCCAAGTACTTACTTATCAGTAATAATCTATGTTTATTATTAGATGACATGATATAATAAAACTTATTCAGTGTGGGAAAAGATGCATTACGAATAAAAAGTTTTCTTAATTCTGAATAAAATGGACAACAAAGCAGGAAGTGATATTCGGATTCTATCATGTTTTGAGTACAAAGTTTACATATTCTCTCACTTCTGTTTAAACCTGTATATCTGCCAGTTTCAATTTCTAGAGAATGGGAACCAAGTCTGAAACATGTCAAACGTTTTCTTAACTTGTCATTTTGTATTACATTTAGATATTCCTCAAAACAAAAATTTGATTTGAAATTCCTAAAATAAAAGAGTTTTGGCATGTTATTTATTTGCTCATGCCAATTTTGTATAAATTGATCTCTAAGGCGTTGTTTAAAAATTAAGCTAAAATCAGAAATAACATTATGGTTATCTAACAAATATGAAAATCCTAACTCATTAATAATAGTATGAGCTTGCCTAGCCCAGCATTTATTATTTCCATTAACACATTGATCTAAATACATGCTATATATAGGCGAATGCTGATTATTAACAATTTTACTCCAAAACTTTTAAGATCTTTCTTTACATAAAATTGACAAAGGAAATTTACCAAGTTCTCCATAGACAGCACAATTAGGAGTTTGTTTTTTAACACCAAGTACATATTTATAAAATTTTATTTGCAGTTTATCAATATCTTTATATTTGTAAATTCCCCATACATCTGAACCATATAACAGAATTGGAGTTATCAGACTATCAAAAAGGTGCAGTTTAGTTTTTACATCTAGCTTTATTCTGTCAAAAATACCCAATAGACTGTTATATGCTCTAAGGCCTTGCTCTGCAAGAGTCTTAGTTGCTTCAGAAAAGCTACCCGTATAAGAAAATTTTACACCTAAATATGAAAAATTATCAACAATATCTACAAACTGACCATCAATGTTTATACTAAAATTATGTACAGATTTCCTTCTTTCAAAAACACAAACTTTAGTTTTATTAACATTTATTTTAAGCCCCCATTTTGACGAATAACTATATTACATTATCAACTTGAGCTTGCAAGCTCTCTGGACTTGTAGTGAAAAGCACGATATCGTCTGCAAAAAGTAGCAAATATTTAGACAAGAGTTCAAGGTCGCTATTCGACATTTTGTTAAGATCTATACATTTTTCAATATCATTTAAAAAAAGAATAAATAGCAGGGGAGATAATGGCTCTCCTTGCTTTAATCCAAGAGTTACGTCGAAAAAATCTGACATATTCATAAAAGCATTAATTTTTACACATGACACTAACAGAAGAATAAATTGCCTTTAACATATTTATCATTTTAACAGCTAATACCAGTATCTAACAGCTTAATCCATAACGCATCTCTTATAACTGTGTCAAAGGCCTTTTCATAATCAATGAAAATACAATAGAGTTTAGAATTTTTGCTAAAACTTTTCTGAATTATGGAATGAAGAATAAAAATAGCATCAGAGGTTGATCTCGAATCTCTAAAACCAAATTGAATATCGCTGAAAATTCTTTCTGACTCACACCATTTTATTAATTCTATTTGCGCAATATCAACGAAAAAATTTTGGCCATACAATTTACCAAAGTGATGCCCTGTAGTTCGAGGATTATCATGATCACCTTTCTTATGTATTGGGACAATTATCCCCTTACACCATGAATCGGGATAAACACCTGTTTCAAATATTTTATTAAAGATAACACACAGATATTTACTTATAAAATAATTAGCATCAATGAAAAAAATCCGCCACTATATTTTGATAATCCGCACTTTTATTTCTATTCAACGAATGAAATTGTTTTAGAGATCTCGTCTATTGTTAATTTGGGTATCTAGCTGCTCGACGTGTACAGGTGAAATCACGTGACTGTGAAAAATCGTCTGCATTAAAGCGGCTGTGTTGCGTATTGCAAATCACGCGAAAAATGATCAACAAAAGCATTTAAAATTTTGACAATTATTGGCTTTCGATTTACTTTTATACTTATTTATATATTTCCAAAAATTTGCGGGGAGACGTTTTACACATATCTGAAAGATTTGATTTCTCCTTAGAATAATATAAATATTTTGCATGTCTCTTAACCCTTGCATACTTAGTTCTGCTTGTCAAAAATAACAACATATTTTCATTAGAACTGTTAAAGCAAAATTTCGTTTTTTGTTTAGAAAATCTGATTTAGCATTTCTGCATTCATGATTAAACCATGGCGATTTTCTATTATTTTTTTGCTTATTTTTTTATGAAATGTTTTTACCATGACATTTATAAGATATATCATAAATCATTTGAGATAAAGTGTTTATACAATAGTCAATATCATTTTCACCTGACATTAGTTTATCACATATATTTTCAAACACATGTCTATTTTCTTCCAGCAAGTTGCAAAAATTATTATTATTTTCAGTATTCCATACAATTTTTATTTATTGGTGGTACCTTGTATATTTTGCTATTACTTTGACTATAACTTAATGAAAATGAAATAGGACAGTGATCTGAAAATTCTGTCATATCCATAACACATACATCGTTCAAAGAGGAAAAATTTTCGAAATCCGTTAAAAGAAAGTCCACTGTACTCATAACAGCTCTGTTTCTAAATTTCGAATGAAAAGTACAAAAACCTGGTTCTAAGCGCCCATTAGCTATGATAATTTTATTTTCTTTGCACAAAGTTAATAATTTGTAACCAAAAGAATTAACGTGTGTATCGTTGTTTGATCGCAAAACAAACATTCTATGTTACAACAATTTTGAGAATCGACCTAAATTTAACGGAAACAGTTTTTTTTCCATAAATGAAACAACATGATGTGTTCAAAAATTCTATAAAGATTATTTAATTTGATTTTAACACATTTGCGTAGATTGAACACGAAATGCATTGTGTTCTATTCATACGACGAAATGTGTTACGCATTCAAATGTTAAAATAGTTTAATTACCTGTATAAGTTTCTGCTTAGCATGCTGCGCATGCGTATTTGTACCTAAATACACGGGGTCAGAAAGTAATTTCTGTAATAGTTGAAAGTAATTCTGGAGATCTGAATCTTCTACTTCAAGTTCTGATGAATGTCGCACATTTCTTCCAATTACTCTCGCCTGGTCAGAATAGAATAACAGTTCTCATTTAATTTTAATCTAAAACATTTAAAGAGTAAGAAGCTATATCAAATGATAAAATTGTGCAGCAATGATATCATTCGCTTTTAATGAAATATAATTATTTGTGTCATACAGTCATTTTAGAAACATTCGTTTTCAAAGTTAAAAGAACTATACAATTTTCAGCAACTGTTAAGCTTTATACGAAGTAGGTAATGAAATATACTATAAACTAGCAAACTGTTGAGTAATAGTAAAAATTCTATCCTTACTAAGCTACTTAATGTTTCCCAGAATGCATGATAAAATCTTAATTTATTATAGATATTATACCGTAGTGTTAAATTCCTAAGTTCAAACAAATATATTAACGTTTGTTTTATTTCAAAGTGTTAAACATTGGTCTTCATAATTAGTATCGAAATATTGTTTACCTCTTCAAACATATTTTTCTTACTGTTGAGGTTTTCACGTATTTTCCCCTGAAAGTCTTTGTAATTAAGGATAACGCTAATAATACCATTAAAGTCTGTTTCTGTTGCAGATGCCTTTTCTTTGTATCCATCTGGGGGCATGAAGCACTTTGCTACTTCCCAGAAATTACTGCACCACTGGGTAGCATCACTGTTTTTGTACGACGGACCCTTAAACCTATGCGCATTTTGTATTTTAGTTTTGAAGTTATGACATATCTTGTTAGGACAGCCAGAAGAACTGTACCTTGTCGCAACATTTCGATGATACGTGCATTTCCCACGCCTTAATTTACATATTTTGTCAGTAGGGCAATTAACAACATTTTCCGTACAGCAACTTGAACAGCAAGTCCCACTAAATAAGCTATTTAAGTACCATATATCATGCAGACATTTCAACTGAAATTGTTGAATTTCAGTACAAACAAAAGGTTCAACTCCTTCTTTAGTAAACAACACAGCTAACTGAGCTTTAACCCAGTTATTGTATTTCTTATCTAACAGTTTAGGGCTATATGAAGCCATTGCTTGCAAACTTTTGTATTTCCCACTTTAACCACTGGCGTGTCTTGAAGGCTCCGATTCAGAGCTGAAAATATATGTAAAATGCAAAGAATATTATAACATTTCAAAAGGGATAATTTAGTATATTCATGTAAAGTTGAAAAACAATCTACTTTAGATTTGTCAAAAATAAAAAAAACTGAGGTTTTTATATACATCGTGTTCTGAATTGTAAATAAATGCAATTGTTTTCATAAAATAACACTGCTTTATTAATTTAAAAAATAAAAGAAAATAATTTAAATACCTTAGTTTATAAATGATATCAATATAGGCAGAAAATGGTGGCATGTATGTGTTTTTATACGCCCGAAAAATTTTCGGGCATATTATGTCATACCCCCTGGCTAAACTCCTCACAGTAATTACCTCCCTTGGAAGAATTATAATCACTGCCTTCACAGACGTCACATGATGATGAAAGTCACATGACGTAACGTCGAAAGTCAAATGTAAATATCGACCGTTACATAGGAAATCTAACGACAGTTTTATCTTTCTGTTTTATTTTAAATTTTCGTACCTTCGTGCGCTATATTTTATCAAAAAATTATCAAAAGTATACAAACTTATGAAAAATAAATTAAAAAGCTAAAAAAATATAAAATATCAAAATATTGATATTCAAATGTTTGTGATGGCAGAGATCTCTGTTCTGATAAGGGGAGATCACTGTGTAGGAGATTGCCCCCTGGTGTCTGTCCATTTTGCCCACAATATTCAAACTTCATAGCGTGATTGTCCATATTAGGAAGAATGTCCCTATTGATTTCGGGGACACAAGGTCAAAGGTCAAGGTCAATATTACCTTAAAACTGAAAACTGTTTCTGGAGCATAACTTAAGTTCAATTTGGGCCACAATATTCAAACTTCATAGGATGAATGTCCATATTGGGTAAAAGACCACTATTGACTTTGGGATCACAAGGTCAAAAATCAAGGTCACTATTACTTTAAAACAGAAAACAGTTTCCGGAGCATAACTCAAGTGTCATTTGTCTCACAATATTCAAACTTCATATTATGATTTTCCATAATGGGTAGAAGATCCCTGCTGATTTTGGGATCACAAGGTCAAAGGTCAAGGCCACTATAACCTTAAAACTGAAAATAGTTTCCGCTCAATAACTTAAGTATTAATCCACCTACAGCTATAAAGTTGTCAAGTGATTTTAAGGTCATAAGGTAAAAGGTCAGGATCACAATGATCTTTATACTAAATTGTGGTTTCTTGGGCATAACTAAAGTTTGGCCCAAAGTGTTCAACCTTCATAGGATGATTGTCATATGGAGTAGAAGACCCCTATTAATTTTTTGGTCGCAAGGTCAAAGGTCAAGGTCACTATTATCTTAAAACTGAAAACGGTTTTTACTCAATAACTAAAGTATCAATCAACCTACAGCTATAAAATTGTATAGGATGAACAACCATGTCCAATACATGATTCCTATCGATTTTAGGATCATGAGAGCAAAGGTTATGGTCACGATTACCTTAACACTGAAAATTGTAGTTTCTGGAGCATAAAACAAGTTCCATTTGGCTTAAAGTGTTCAAACTTCATAGGATGATTGCCTATATTGAATAAAAGATCCATATCTATATTGGGATCACAAGGTCAATATAAAATAACCTTAATATTGTTAACAGTTTTACAACTGTCAAACTTGTAAAGATGATCACTTATATACACTAATTATATGCCCTAAAATTTGTTCATATTATGTTATACCCCTGGCGTCTTTCCGTCCATCCGTCAAAGCATTTTACTTACAAGATAACAACTTGATGGTGGTGCTTTTGGAACAGCAACTGTGTATATATATGAATGTTCTTCAGCTATAAAGGGAGGATTGCTTTTTGAAGGAGGTAATACTTTATTTAATTTCCATGTCTTACAAATGCTTCATCCTTAGAAAAAACACTTTCGGTCATATAATGCTCCGCCTAGCGGTGCTCTTGTTATTTATATATTCTTGCGCGCACAAGATATAATGTCGAGGCCAAGAGTTACTAAGTCATGCGCACGATATACTATGTTGTAGTCACGAGTAGCTAAGTCGTGCGCACGAGATACTATGTCGTGGCCACAAATTACTTACTGGTGCGCACGAGATAATATAGACGTGGGGACGATATACTATGTCGAAGCTGCGTGTAAGTCGTGTGCGCGAGATACTATGTCGTGACCACGATATAATTAAGTCGTGGGCACGAGATTATTAACCAATCGGTTACTACACTATATATACATATGAAATTTTAAAACTTAGAAAATTCCTGGCTTAAATTGTACATGCAACATAAATCTTGTAAAGTACTTAAGGTATTCACTTAAACCTTTTACCTCATGAGCATATTGTGAAAAATGTTTTTATTGAAAAGTATCCTGATACAAGTTAAAACTGCTATGAAACTATAAAAAAATGTTTCAATATTGGTGAAACTTGGCATAGATGTTGACTGGACCATAGCCTCTGTAACAGCATGCTCAATGGTAAATTTCCTGTTACAATGGCAACGGAGGGACGTCACAAAATTGCGAAAAATCACTGTTTTGCATTGTTTTTTCCCATCAAAACTGATTTGCTGCAACTTCTCAATGAATTGAGATAGAGTAAAAGGCTTTTCAGCGTCGGTTACAAGTTACCCTAAGATCGACCTGAGGCCATTTTTAGCCTGTCACATGTCCAAACTTTTCTTGGCGATGAGGGGGGGGGCTAACGCCCCCCTCAAACTCCTCCAAACAGAAGGGGGCACATCCCCCTTCTGGCAACCCCATAGTTCAGCCACTGCATCGTTCCTAGGCAGGTTGCCAGACAGTTGACCTATTCTAGTTGCTTTCATTTCCGCAAGGAACTGATACCTTATGTAACTGCTAAACAGAGGTACAGTGGGAATGACGGTAGAAAGGATTTCATGATCATTCACAACGAAAGTGACCCGGGTCGCCCGATTCAAAGCTCAGCGCTTTAGCGAAGGTGTGCAGATAATCTGTCAAACTTATATAGAAAAATTGAAATTATGACACAGCCTTGAGCTGTACTAACATTTATGCATTTAACTTACGGTACTGAACTATTATAGCTTGGACAACTTGAAGTTTAATAAAAGTTCCTATGCAAGGTCTATACAAATACTAAGTCTTGGTAAATTCAAGTTTCCTAATAATCCTTATTGGAAGAAAACAATCAAGTTAAACATCCTGAAAAAGGTTAAGTCTGAGCGGAAATTTCGTAGCCACCATTATGGAAATTTATGAGCCCAGTATTTTTTAAATGTCCGCTGAAAACAAATGATCTGTATACTTTAACCATGTATATCACAAGACGAAGTAAGAGCTGATATATAGATTAAACAGAACAACAAGTATAAAAAGAATAACAGACAATGATCAGAAATTTATAATAAAACATCGAATTGGTTGATTTCAAATAAGACACAAATAAAGTGAAATAAGAGGTACGATACGTATATCGTATACAGCGGCTGTATGCTATGCGAACAAAAATATATGGCATATTGCCGCATACACCAATCAGCACTAAACTATACTGAAAAAAAAAACATAGCATAGTGTCGCAAATAGCAAACTGCGTCGCGACAAAGCCACCTGTTAACAGAAAAGCGCTAAAATGAAAAATGCTCACATTTAAGCTGAACTGAAAAATATAATAATAAATGTTGATTTTGCAATCATTTAAGTGTCATTTAGACAAAAAAATGTTTTTGTTGCGTTTTTCATACACGTTAGGTGTAGTAGTGAAGTGTAGTGAGTGAATCCCTAATATAAAAATACTGGTAATTCCGCCGCGTGGTTCGGGCCATTTGGCGTCCCAAAAATTCCATTTTCCCCTTTATTTTATAGCTCCACATCAATTTGTAGATCTCTAAAAACTTTTTTAAGGCAACTAAGTGGAGTATGCCGTAAAAGTAGGTGCTTGAAGGTTCCAGCGGGAGGATTTCCTTTTTCGTTTCGTGTCAAGTCTGGTCCAATGGTCGACATGGTCTGCTCTCTTGGGGTCTGCACTTCCAAACTCTTAGCTGCATGATTATTCTTTTTAGTAAAAAAAATCAAATACTTCAAATAACACTCAAAATTAGACCAAGTCGCTTTGGCTAATCAAAAAGCTTACCATTTTGATTTAAATTTATATTAAGGGAAGGCATATCAAGGACGGGCACGTGCAGCAGACCAAAGCCTCTAGGCTATAGGTGTGCGATGTCTTAAAATCTAACTTACTTACAAACGGTATAGAAAACTCCAAAAAGTAGTGAATTCGTGCCCTTTGCTCAATGATTTTTTAGAATTGGTTACAGGTTTTATTAATTTTGACTCGTTTTATTATTTTTTTGTATTTTCAGCTGTCTGTGAACAGGCAGCATGTAGATAAATCTTACACATTTCTAGTGCTTTTAAATTTCAATTAAGATTTGACAAACATATGTTATTACATATTTAACCTTAAAGCTAAGTTTACAAAAACTTTACTAAACTTGCGGTCTCCAAAACTTGTTTTTTAACATTTCAGACGGCAGATTGAAGTCTAATCAATTGGAGGTGATGTATTTTATGGAGTATATAGTTAAGAGGCCTTGGCATAATGTTGGCATCCTTTGGCTGGCCAACAAAGAATATCCAGTTGGTCTGATGTTGGACCATCTAGATAATAATATTTGTGTGGTTGGTCAATTTGAGGACCAACGATAATATAATGTCTGCGGTTGGCACAACTGATGGCCAACGATAAGAACTGCAAATCAGTCGTTGGGGCAACTTCGCGAACTTCAATGGCTCGAACTCTGTTGGCTCGAACACCCCGTTTCGCTCGAACTGACTTCCAGGTCCCGGCAAAATTCCCGTATGTTTTAATTAAAAAGACAACGCTTCGCTTGAACTATAATGGCTGGAACGCCCGAACTCGAACTACGGTCCCTAGAGTGCATGTAGAATGTAAAATACCATTGATGGCTCGAATTTAATACGTCAAAAAATGAACGGTATAATACTCATTGCCATTCATGTGCGAAAGCTAAATTCGCTTAGTTATTTTTTCCTGTATTTCTGTTAGACAGTTCGTGATTTATAAATTTTATAGATTTTTTAAACGTAATATGCAAAAACTAATCTCTTTTAAAAAAGTAAACTGAAATCGTCAGTTTGAATTGATCTGTCGATGTAGCGCTACATGTATATACATGCATTTCTTTTGTAGAATGTTATTTGATTTTGTGCTCTAGTGATATTAAACATGTGTTAATATTGTTGATCGTCTTTATTTATTTGCTGCAATGTACATGCATCATATTTGTTGGTTTTATTTCATTAAATAAGTATAAAAATTCTGTTTATGTTTTTTACTCCATCTTACTGATTTATCTCGGTTCAGATGTATGTACCAAGGGTTGGGCCAACATCGCCCCGAATAGCAAACTAGCAGTGGGCCAACGTTGGTATACTAGTTCGTTGTTGGGCCAACAAACAAAGTGCACTTGGCCCAACGTTGGGCCAACTTCCGTCTGCTATCTTGGTTGGTCTCTTTATGTGTGCTCTGTTATGGTGCATTTTGCTACACATTTATAAGTATATGCAAATGTATGTTGTATTATAAGGATCAATGTTTCTGCTTACCAAGAGCGAAAGTATCAAACCATATACCTCGAGTCTTGGCCTTAATGTCCCCATATCATCATTTTTCAGACTTTTAATTTGAATGTTCAAAGGAATATTGAAGCAGGTATAAACAACATACAAGCCACAAACATTATTATCATGCATGATTTTCCGTCATAAAAGGCAGGCTATTTAACTATTTTTAAAGAAAAATACTCATTTGACCCTCCGCCATTTTTTACCGCGCCACTGCGTAGGGTGTCATACGTAGAAGTTTTAAAGACGCCTAAATTTAAGCGATTTGATTTTCGTCGTCAAAATTTGAGCGACTTCTTTTTATCAATTTGTATAAACAGGTTTTCTTTCTTGAATGTTGCAATAAATAAGGCGTCCATATCATTAAACTAGCGAGTTCAAATTTTCTTTTTATTGTTACATTTGGCAAAATTTTGAAAAACGGCTTAAATTTGACGGCTTAGACAAATGATCTTTCCTTTTTGTCGACGAAATGAACATTAGGTTAAGGCAACATGACGAGGCCGATATACGTTTCCGTACTATATAGTAGACTAAGCCACGCAAACATATGCCTATTTTAGGTAGCAAATTGCGGTCATTGATATCCGCAATATTTTGTTTTGATATAAACTTTGATAAAGAATCGAGTTTGAGCATTTAGCCTCGACTGTTTATGCCAGGAAATATCTCTTTTTAAAAAGTCGCGACTCAATTTTTTTACTTGCCATTATGTTTTTATTAGACCGTTGTTGAGGAACCAAAAATATCGGGCTATGATTTTTCTTCAACATTTTTGTGAAGTTTCAAGAGCGTTTGCAAAAAAAAATGTCATGGATTTCTTTCTGTTCCTCGACTTTTTATAGGCAAACAAAGCAGAAAATGTAGCCAAACCATGCACGCTACCGGCCTTAGGAGTCAAAATGTTCCATGCTGTTTCCAACAACTGTTTTAAAATATGGAGGGTTATACATTCAACGCGACATTTTGTACGATTTTGGCAGAAAAACTCGCGAGTTTGTAAGTTGCCCGCGACATGTTATGATAAAGCGATTTCTCGCTGGCTTAAGATATATATTAAGTAGAATCCCTACTTAAGACCAATCCAGATTTAAGACCATCCCGCTATTAAGACCATCCCGCTATTAAAACCATCTTTTAAGCGAACGGAATATTTTGTTCTTTTTGTCAATAGTTACATAATCCAGAATTAAGACCCATCCCGATAATCCACTTTTAAGCTAAAGACCACCAGATTCAGTCCCAATTTTTTTATTTATTCTTTATTTGAACACACTATTGAGACCACTAATTTTAAAGTCAACACTTACCAAGATCACATATTTGTTGTAATATTATCTGCTTGAATGCATTTAAGCATAATTAATATTGAAATCAGACCCAAAAGAACTTAATATTAAATTTCTCCAGAAAATGTTTTACTCTCATCTGATCATTATAACATATATTGTATTTGTAGGTTAAGATACATATTGTTTGTTTATACAAAATGACTAAAATAGACCATGGTCACAAACTATGTAATCAATGATAAGAATGCCCGCAATTAAGACCACTTCGCAATTACGACCAATGTGGTCCAGTCCCGATGGTGGTCTTAATTGAGGGTTTTTACACGTATATTGATATTTCAAATGGTTAAATTAATAAAACATTTACCAATAAGAATCAAACCCATCTTTGTTTTAATTTATGCTACATCGGAATTAGTAAATTTGCACAGTGATGTATATGGGTATCGACTGTCATTAGAACTTCAATGTCGCAGATTACAAATAATGCAAGAGCCTTACCACATAACCTAGTTGTGTTTATTTTTTTTTTTTTCAAAAATATTTTGTATACAATCAATAGAAGCGGTTGTGGTACACATTTGTAATATGCTCTTTACTTGCTCATCTACCAGCCATGTATTAGTTTTATTGTAATTTATTAATAATGGAGATTGACTTTAATAAGCACCTAGTGCTTCCGTCAAAATCCATTGCATGTATTATGTTAGTATGGTTATGAAACTGTATGTATAATGTATGATTAAAATATATGCAATAAATATGTTTAAACCAATGTCGCAGATCGAAAATAAGTCAGTGCTCGGTATTAAAGCAGAACTTAGATGATATGGAACCCAAACTGCGTTGATATGTAGCATACTAACGCACTTTGGGGTCAATTTCTCGATTTTGACCCCAAAGTGCATTAGACCTCAAAGTGCACTGCGAAGTTTACCGCACTTTTGGGTCGGACCCGAAAGTGCGTTTAACCCCAAAGTGCGGTGTTACAGTGCATAAAGATAACATGGATATTAAATGAAAGACATATCCTAGAGACTAAGTTTATGGTAATTGTACAAAACTTACCTCTATCAACATTCTACACGACACATTTTCTGTTGACGCATAAATTGTTCCTTTGTTGAGTGCATGAATAATTTCACATATTGAAAAAAACAACATACATATCATGCCAGAATGATTATTATAGCTAGCACAAGTATGCCATGATAGTGCGTATAAACTCTCCGTTTGTAAAAGAAATAACTGCCTTAAGTAAACTGTTAATGTGATTTTAACCACTTTTCAGTGAGGACGCTTTAGATAAATCATGTAAGTCAAAGCGGATTGGTTAATTTCGCGCAGGACATTATTTACTATCATTAGATCTGCATTTTTGACAAATGAAATAAATTACAAACAAGAGCCACAACAAATCGGGGGCAACGCTCGCCTTTTTTTTTCTTATAATGTAAGAGACATCGGAGTAAAATTATTTAAGTATAGACTACTCCAAACAAAAACGAGCAAATACAATTACTTAAATTTCATATTTGACCATAACCGTCAGTCATTCAAAGCTCAAGGTCATATTTGAATTACTTAGCTTTGTCAGGTGCGTTGTCAAAGATTCTTACACTTCAATTGATTTTGTCACAATAGACAAAGAAGGGAAAAAAAACGGTGTTAAACTGCCAATAAACACTGGTTAGGGACTACTTGTATATGCGGCTGTTATGTTTTCACCCTCGATTATGCCGGCTCGCCACGGCGAGCCGGTATTACGTTAGGATTTTACTGAGAAACAACCTAAAACTCCGAATCCATCCAAAATTTAATCAAATCTTGGCTTCCAGCTTTCTACAAAACTTATCTGTCAGGACTGCAATCCAAAATTATTTAGCCAATCAAATTTAATCTTATATAGCGTCAAAGAAACTTCAATTTTCACGCCATTTTTAAAAAGCAGCAAGTATTGCTTTGATCGCAAAGATATAATGATGATTAAAATGTTTGTTTTCATGAATTCTTTTCAATAAATCATATTTACAATGACTTTTGATTTAGCGATTTCACCTGTTTTCTCTGTAGTAAGTTTTCGTTTGGTTAATTACATCTGGTTCTGTGCATTTTTTTCTTTTTCTTTTTTTTCCGGTCATTTTATCCTTTCCGGTATTTAGTGTATGTATTTACTGGCCGGGATCCGGGACGCCCGGGATCCGGGATCGTATTAGATATAGAGGAAAAACTAATAAACTATATTTGTGTTGATTATTGTCGTAATGAAAGGCCATTAAACGTTAAGTTTTTATTTTTTTTATTGTATGTAATGAACGTAAAATTAAGTAAACTTAGGATATAGATATATTTAGAGCTATTTATTAACAAACTTAAAATGCGGAAATCACAATACTTATAATTTTATGCCTAATAACATGTAATTGGAAAAATCAAAGACTATATACTTGAATTGGTCAAATCCCGGAATCCCTATATGTTTTAATACGATCCCAACTTTTCTGAAAACTATATTCTTGAACTGGCCAATTCCTCGGATCTTTATATATTTTAATACGATCCCGGCTTTTCTGAAAACTATATTCTTGAACTGGTCAATTCCCGGGATCCCTATATGTTTTAATACGATCCCGGCTTATCTGAAAAACATCTTCTTAGACTGGTCAATTTCCGGGATCCCTATATTTTTTAATACGATCCCAGCTTTTCTGGCTGAATTGATTGACAGCTTGTGTTTACTTTAGGACTTGTGTCTATCACTCATTCCAATACTAAATAACATATTACAACTTAACTTCGTATAAAGAGACATCTTTATGAATTCTACCTATCTAACATTTTTTTTGGTCAAGGTCAACAGGCCATATAGTAAATGTGCATAGACATAGGGACTTCATTCTATCTGTTTACATGCATCTTCATATATACTCATATTCCTCTTTGTTAAACTGAGAGAACTGGCTTCTATAACTTTATATGTCACTTTAATTTTGATGTTTGCTGAAGTCTCTTCAGCTAACAGAACTGTCATTTTTACATTTAAACACACCCCTGGAAAAAAATTACGAAGCGAGTCGCTACTAGCTTTTTTAAAAGCTAACCTTGTATAGTTTACAAAGCCTTTTAAAGCAACAATAAAAAGCATTTTTATTTATATTTTCAGTTCTTATAATGTTTTGTTTTCATACAATACCGAAATAATATCTCACATACACTAACACCAAATATTTGATCCATATCAATTAATAAATATTTTGACAAAACTACGCCAATCCGTAAGCAGCGTAATGACATATCCTAACTAAACAACTCATTCATAAACAAGCTGACGTTATTTCATACATACAAGAATGATAAATGGGGTACTGATGTAAACACAATACGGCGTAAGTTTTTATTGTTGAAAACTTGGTAAAAATAACGTGTTTTCTCTTATTATTTCTTTTGTTTAATAATTTCAATATCTGTACATCAGTAGGGTGCGAAAATCGAACAGCGTTACACGAAAATCGGCACCGGAAGTTATTTCCGCTTGAAATATAACATTAGTGATCTTCCTCATTTTATTGTGTTAGAATCGAAATAGTATCGGTCTTAGCGGTGTTTAACGGCTATTTAACACCGGTTTTGTCGTTTTGATGCAAACAAATTAACCACTCAGGCCTACAGCCTTCGTTGTCAATTCATACGCATCAAAACTCCAAACCGTTGTTAAATAGCCGATAAACACCGCTAAGACCGATATTATTTCTTAAATGAATCCAGTCCTAAGTTGAAAACACATACCCATGCCGCTTACAAAATTTCGACTCCGTAAAAATGCTATTGCAGGGCCGTGCATATATTTTGACGTGATGTCGATTGCGTTATACAAACATAGGTTGTATCATAGTTTGGGGACCTTTCTTTTAAAAATATGTAAATAGTATCTTTATTTTTATATAAATCAATCATGCCATTTACATTTTTGACTAATTTACTCAAGAGATAGCATATGACCTATACTGTTTCGGTGTGACGTAAAACCCAATTAAACGAACACACATAAAAATATCATGCGTCATGATGTTTTTATCATGAAACTTTTTCATCTTCATAATGTTTTTAAGAAATATATATTTATAATATTGTACTTAAAATCACAGCAAAATTACATTTAGCCCATTTTTATCTGCTTCTATGAATACCAAACTGAACAATAACCGAAATCCTCGTTACGTGTGTTCGCTTTAAGTGAAGTTCACTGTAGTACTACATGTACATTACTCATGTACATAACATAAACTAGACAATATTTTGAAATACAGCGGCAAACTATTTGCTGATCAACAGGAAAGTATGATTGAAAATATCTCCGGTTACAATTAAGATATTTTAGTTATCAACAATGTAACGAGGAAAAGATGTTTCCGGGTCCCATCTTAAAATGACTTAACATGATGAAATTATTTACATGTAGCAAAACATTTTATCTATGAATATATCATATACATGTATTTCTAGATATAAAGCAGCAATTATAATAGTTTGAAGGAAGAAAGTACTTAATTACTATACTCAACACCATTAAAATGATAAAAATTTCATATTTTAAGCAATTTATAATCATCGAAGTGTTTTCATTTATATAAAGTATATATAGTGACTAAAGCTATTTAACCTGCACGCCTCCAGATTATCCAACATATTTCATGAACATCAAACTTGAGAAAATATATTAAACTTTTAAGAGTAATAATTAATATTTTATGTGCGATAACTGACTAATTTTGCAGTATCTATTACCATATTTCTTTTGCGTGACTTGCGTAGTAAGAGATATTCTTGCATTTTTTTACTTCTTTTTGGTTATTTACATGGTTTGTTAGTGCCGTTCACAATGTGTAAACTTTGTTCACTTAAAGTGACATTAAGCCCATCCAAGGGTATAAATGAGTGAAAAACTAAATATCAAGAAAAGCTTTCATTTTGCCATAATTCCTTTTAATATAAAGATTTATTTTACATTGACAATGAGCAACGCATGGATTCAAACGAAACTTTCGTAAATATCCATTAGAATTAAAGCTACAGTCTCACTTACTTCCCGGCACAGCCCCGGTAGACGTCCGGGTGATCCGGGAACGACCGGGGTACGACCGGGAACAACCGGAGTACATCCGTAACTGGTCTCAACCCGGTACGGAATTAGACCGAACCCATTGTAGTCTAAAAAGTAGTTCTTTAAAATTTTGAAATGGCCCAATTTAAGTCATCTCTAGTTAGATTGGTCATAATTAAAGTGTATTTATTGCATGTGTGTAGTTTTTGTGTGTTATATGATGACTTTAAAAGTTGTTTTTTGTGTATTCTCCAGGAACTCATTTGTTGGTGGAAGGATTAAAGATGTACTACCCACCAGCTGTCAGGAGTTTTTAAAGTGGTGAATTTAAACAGTGTTACAACAGAATGAAGATTTCTGAAAAAAGTAGATGGCTAACCTATTATATTTTGGGCCTCATTGGACTTAGATAGTGTTAATGTTTAAAGTTGAAGACAGTATATAATTCATCAAGAAAAGTGGAATCCAGAATTAAGCCTCAAATTTGACTGATTTACTATAGAACAAATAGTACGAAAATTCACCGGGCCGAGGCCAACTCTGCCGGCAACGTCCGGGATGATCCGGGAACATCCGGCATTCGACCCGGATGGAATTAAATATTTAATATCACCGGGATGGTCCGGGATGATCCGGGAAGGTATAGCTTTGCCGGCTTCATCCTAAGCTCTGCCGGGAACGACCGGGGTTATACCGGGGAAGCACCGTAGCTCTGCCGGCACAAACCAGGGATGATCCGTCTTATGATATAGCCGGTAGAGCTACGGTAGAGCCCCGGTATATGCCGGCAGAGCCCCGGTAACTACAGGCAGAGCCCCGGGGGATAAAGGTAGAGCTACGGTTGATCCCGGTAGAGCCCCGGCAAAACCCGGATCATTTCAAAAGAATAAGGCCGTTATTCCATTTATACGTGATCAGTGGTCCGCGTCCGTCATCCGCGTCCGCTACCGATTCGCTAATCAAAGAATACGTTGAATCTATTCCTTTTGTCCGTTTACCATCCGCTTCCGCGACGGCATCCGCGACGTTTCGCAGGATGAGCGATTTTTTACGGACGCGGACAGTCACTGACATGTCTCATCCCTACAAAATGCCTCGAATGAAATTAAATACTTTATCGATTTCGAAAGAAAATACTAAAGAGCTCACCAAAATAGTGTGGGAGAACCTATAAGTTTATGATGCAGCAATGACAGATTA